CGTCCTCATCTGGTGAGATCGACCAACGAATCTCTTCTTCATGCACTTTCAAACGAAATGAAGGTCCCTCAACAAAGTTATGAATCAACACACAAATTGGTGAACTTTATAGGCCTTAAACTTAATAAGTTAAACAAAGGCAAACAAACACTGATAAGAATTTATTCAATCTTCTGAAAGGTTCAGAAGATATAACTGAAGGGAACAACATAATTGGTAAGTTTTGATGTATATTCTGTGTGTATAGTAAAGGTACTAGTTACCCTACTAGGATTCTTCAATCGAGAAGAGTACATCCTGGAAGCAGAGAAGATCAGAAGGGAGTCTTTAACACGATTTATCAACTTGACAATAAGAACTATCTAAGTTACCATACGACCCTACCCGAGGCCACAACATCTTGGTCTTCACATCTTCTATCTAAGTTACATTCAGCAGTAACATATATGCACGAATATTTGTACTTCTTGCGTGTACATAAAGAAATTATAAGAGGGCTTCCAGGCGTATATGCTGCCTTACGCGGCACCTGGATGGCTACTTCGCATTTTGGTCGTATGTAAAAAAGGGAATTACTTCCTTAAGTTTATAGACCTGACATGAAGACCAAGATATTTTGGTCTTAGTCTCATATCGCTTTATGTGTTCTGATATTGCTTTCGCAACTTGATTGTGATGTCAAGAGCGCACCTTATCCGAAAACAATGCACTGCTTAGACCCAAACGAAGGAGACAATTATTGCTGCTAAGAATGACAAGATTCACTGGCGATGCCGAATATGATGTCGGCCAAACGTCTCGGTGTCACGACTATTATAGCAGAGGACTTTGGAGAAAGCTCGTCAAACTAGGTCGAAAACGAGATCAAACCATTTCTATACATCGAAAGGAGACGGCGACCAAAACTGGCAACATCATCTTGGTCTGCTTATCTACCAAAAAGTTGTCGCCAACTTAATTATTTATTACTTGATCCCTCTAATAATTCAATTTATTCTTGATTTTAAAATTTAACAAAGGGTAAAAGGCTATTTATGAATCAGCCTGTATCTTAGCCGAGATTAAGGCGAACAACTTGCCCTTGCTAAACATAGACATGCGTTTTTTTATTTCCTTTTTTTAATGCATTGTTGCATTCTCCTTTAGCTACTTATTTGCTCCGACTTCATGGCTCGTGGCATCGACGTGGAGGACGTGGATTGTGTGGTCTGCTATGACCTACCTTCCTCAATAAAGGCTTACGTTCACAGAATCGGGCGCACTGCCAGGGCCGGAAAGCCTGGCGTCTCGTTCACTCTGCTCTCTCCTGTCCAGGTACCTTTTACTTGCTCCCTCGATACTTTCTGACTATCCTGCATTCCAGACTATAAGGAAGCCTTATTTTTTGGATACTTCCAAAAAATTCCCTCCGAACGTCGGTCTGAGTTGTCGACCCTCGTGTCTCTCGGCCTATCTTCCATTTACTGCTTATAATTTTATCATTCCTACTGTTTGATTCTCGCCATTGGTTTCACAATGTCCTGTCCGATGTCCATCTTCACCATTCCGAGGGCGCTTGCACACTTTTATCGGGGTCTGTCTGCTTGTGTCTGTCAGTCGCTCAAGTGCCGTGGAATTTAGCCCTAGCACATCCTTTTTCTGGTTTGTCTGAAGTGGTTGCATTTTTTTCGCATCTACCTTGACGAGCCGAGTTAAGTTTTCCTTTTAGTTATGGATGGGAGATTTCAAGCATCTTACTCCCTTTTTTTTCTCTGTCCCTCAGACACCCTATTTCAAACGGGAGCTGGCCACTGTGGGCAAGAAAGCCAAGGAGTTTCGGTTTAATCCAAGCCAATACCGGAGGTACATGGCCGAGTATCAATCTGCTCTGAAACTTTTGGAAGACACTGTAAAGGTGAGTCGCATTCTATCCTCAATTAACCCCCAGGGACTTTATTCGGTTTTCGGGCTATGCTGAATGAATCTCATTTTTGTGATTCTGGTCCCTCAAATGCATTGCTTGTTGGACAGGG